GAACAAACCAACCAACAGATGAACGAACGAACAGACAAACGAACGGACCGACAGACACACAAATGAATCAACGGACAACCGACAAACAGACCGAAGGATAGATGAATGGACGAACAAACAAACGGATGAATGAACAGACCAACGCACAAAGAAACAGACCAACAAACAGACGAACAAACCGACCAACAGACGAATGAACCGACGAACAGACAAACGAAACAATGGACAGATGGACGGACAAACAGACGGAGAGCATTTCTATGTCCCCCACCTCGGTGACGGGGGACAAAAATACTGCACATGTAAATAGACTGCACTTACTCATTACCCAGGCGGAAGAAAAAGTAGTTCCTTCCAGCAGCACGATTTAGACATTACAATAGTTTGGTTTCTTTCCACTGTGTTCCTGTTAACAGTATACATTATATCAAAGTATTAATATTTTTATTTCACAATCAATTCTACACCAGGGACGGGCTACGTACATGATGGCCACAGATTTTTTGTTGACACAACCATAGTGTCACAGCACTGCATATTTACCCAAATGTAATAAAACTGACATTTTACAAATGTTTGTTTAAATATGTGTTTTAAACCAGTAACAACATATTTCAAGCTCAGAACAGTTATACTCTTGTTTAAACACGTACTTTAGTGTGCTGAAGTGTAATGACATAAAACTCCTTAAGGTCAGATTCCTGTGTGGTTCTGGTTCTGTTAAAAAGTCTGTTTTTGTTTTTGTGACTTCAGTAAACCCATATTGAGCTTTGTGCAGCGTGTTGTAGTGACGACGTATTAAAATCCTTCACGGCAGACAGCATCTCCAAGCAGACTGAACACTGAAGTAAATTATGAAGTTCTGTCAACAGATAGTCTGTTGGGGGAGGGGCTTCGTTGACTGACCGTACAAAAGTCACCCACAGTCTGGATGTGGCCCACGGGCCGTCAGTTGTCCATTTCTGTTCTAGAGCTTAAAGTTCTGGTATCAATCAGTGTGGATCTGCTCACCACCACACATGATCAGATACAGGAAGGGTTTTTAATTTATTTTTATTTTATTTTATTTTTCACTTTTATCAGTTTTTATCAAATTTAAAGTTATAGTTAAACCTATGGGCGACATATTTTTGGCACAAATGGAACTCCATACAAACCAAGATTTAAAAATCAGGTCAGAACTTAGATTCATCCAGTTCACCAACAATTCAAGAAGTTAAAGATTAATTTAGTTTTAATGATTCTGTTTATTTTTATAATAATTGTGTTGTAGTTTCCTTTGTTTTGTGTTTACAGATTGTACTTTGTTGTATTATTGAAAAAAATGTGTTTAACCTTGTTTGTTTTAGACATTTGTTTGCTTTTAGCAGACAAATTAGTCATTATCGAGGGACAAAAGATGAAAAATAGCTAATTCTGGGGCACATTCATAGAAATGTTATTTAATGTCTAATGTCCTTGTCAAATAAATTAACCATTAAAAAACAAATAAAATATAAAGACAGATATTGTGAAGTTAACTACAGTTTGATGGTCATAAAGCAGGTAAATGTTTCAAAGGTTTGATTAAACCATAAAATCTGAATTTTTACTTTTCTTCCACCTTGTATTTATTTTAAAGTAATATATTCCAGAGGGAGGCTTTGACAGAAACCATGATTTTTACATTTTATAGCAATTATAATAAAAACAAGTTGTTAGGAATCGTCTTTAAAATGTTGTGGTTTCTTTAAATCACCTGAAGACCCCACGCTTGTCCTGACCCCAGCCTGGAGAACCTCAGGTTCTCTCATTTCCTGTCATTTGTTACGAAGAAGAGGGAAAAAGGTCTTTTTTCTGTCTGGCCTGCAGGTGGGTGTTTGTGGACAGGTTTAATGTGTCACCAGACATTTCCTCTGGCAGGAAGCAAAAAGACAAATATCTGTAAAACGTATGTTTCCTGCGATGGAAACGCAAACATTAGTGTCAGTTTCTGACATGGTTCTGCTCGCTGGACCCAGTAAAACATCTCAGTCGGTGAGACGCTGTGAGGAAGGCTGGCAGCGCTCCGTCCACCCTGCTGCAGCTCTTGTCCCTGGGGGAGGACTGATCCTGGACGAGCCAGGGCTCCCAGCTCACACTGTTGTTGGGAACAATGGTAACAGCTTGATGAGAACAATAAACAGTTATTTATGACTCGTCATGTTCTGTAAGGTTTCAGAGCGACGTTCACCTGTAGAGCCGTCTGAAACAAGCTGCCAACCATTTAAACCTGTTTTTGTTCTCTTTAATCCAGCTGGAATTCAACATCTAAAATAATAATATTAATTTTGCATCTTTGCACTGAGATACTTTGTTCACTTTGAAATCAGATATTAGGCATTTATATTAAAAATAAAGTTTATTACTTCAGAGTTAAAAGTGTCTGATGGTCGAAGCTCAGTTGCATCAAGCATGAAATGTTTTGAGTTGTCAGTGAGTCTGAGGACAATTAGCTGGGAGCGGACATGTTGGAGCTGCTGTAGCTCATTCATGCTGTTTCTGCTGTTATTTTCAAGATGAGCACAAAAAATTATGTCTTTGTGCCGTTTTTGTTTGATGGGTTTGCAAATCTTTGCAGTGTGGGCATTTCTTTATTTTGTGCATTTTTAAAAATTGTGTATTTTTTATTTTGTGCATTTATTTTTTATTTGTAATTTTCTTTTGTTCATTTCTTTTTTTGTGTGTGCATTTTTAAATTTTGTGCATTTTTTTATTTTGTGCATTTATTTTTTATTTGTAATTTTTTTATTTTGTCCATATTTTTGTGTGTGCATGTTTTAATTTTGTGCATTTTTTATTTTGTATATTTTTTCTGCATTTTAAAAAATTGTGTAGTTTTTTATTTTGTCCATTTCTTTTTTTGTGTGTGCATTTTTAAATTTTGTGCATTTTTTGATTTTGTGTATTTTTAATTTTGAGCATTTATTTTATTTTGTGTATTTTTATAATCTGCATTTTTATTTTGTGTATTTTTTATAGTGTGTGTTTTTTTTCTTTCGTGTATTTTCTATTTTGTGTATTTCTTTTTACTTTGGACAGCATCCTAACGTTGCTCTCCTCCTGTTTAAAGAACTGAAGCAACTAGAAACACATGATTCTGTATCACTTTTCAAAACACGGAGCTGCTGCACCTCACAGCACAATATTCAGTTTCAGGACAATAAAATAAAAGTCAAACGAAGTTGAAATGTTTTGATCTGTAAATTTGTTCTAAATCAGTTTGATGATTGAAGACAGACTCAGTCTGACTGGTTTGAACTCTTCAGTTTCCTGGTAAACCACAGAGCTGTGTTCAGAACCACAGTGTGATCCAAACTGATGAACCCAGCTTCTTTATCTTTACAAACTTCTTCCCTTCCGGGTCACAGAGGTTGCAGGTTCAAGTCCAGCCCAGGTTTTCATTTCCAGTCTTTTTTCCAATCTGCTGCCGATCTGCAGAGTCTTTTTCTGCTGTGTGATGAAAAGCAGCCTGAACAGGAAGTGGCTGCTGTAAATGAAACCTTTATTTTGAAATTCAAACCGTTTTCTGGTTTTACTTCCTCATCAGTCTCAGCTGCAGCGAAATGCTGCCTGACTGTGGAGAAATCTGAAACTCAAATCAGAAACAGCTTTTTCAGGGTCTCTGTTTAGAACCTGGACTGAAATATTGCTGAGTCATGCTCCACATTTTACTTCCTGCTGTAGAAAATGAAACGCTGTGACCTCAGATTGGTGCTCGTGTGTTTTTATATAAAAACTAGGAATAAAACATAAAAACTCAATAATATTCAGTTTTTAATGTTTTAAGTTCTGCTTCTTCTGCAGCTACTACAACTGGAGGACCCAGGTGTCCAGCTCCAACTCCAGCTCCAACTTCCAGGTGGTTTACGACGACCCCGGTGGTCTTCTCTTCAGGAACAAGAAGGATAAGAAGATCCTGAACCTGGACCCCTGGGTAACGGTTTTCTTTTTCTGCCGTCCTGCTTTGCTTTAAAGTCCTTAAAACTGTGAAGATAACAAATGCTGAACCACGAGCTAAAAGCTAAAAGTACCAAAAGCTGAGCTAAAAGCTACATGTGGTAAAGGCTAAAACCTCAAATAAAACAGAAACAAAAAAAGTCGTTATTAGAAGCTAAAAGTAGCAAAAACCAAGAAGCAGATTTGTGTGTATTTCTGTTCAAACTATTTGCAAATAAAGTCAAATAATTAAAAAGTACAAAGATTAACGGATCAGAGCAGCTGAATGTTGTGTTTGCAGAAGCAGTTTGACTGAAAACAACCGTGTGAAGCTAAATCAGCTAACACAGCTAAAGAAAGTTAAACAGTAAAAAGTTTTTTTAGCTATTTTTAGTTTCATTATTTCAAAACAAAATACAAGAACTTTGTTTATTTTACTCATCTGAAAGTTTTCTCTCTCATTCTGCCGTCTGTTATTTTAATTTCTTTCATCTTTTAACTTCCTTTTGATATTTTTAGCTTTTCTTTGCTCTTGTCAGATTTATTTTGCTTTTTTGCCTTTTTTTTCTACCAATTTGTCACTTTTGTTTTCCTACTTTCAGCAAAAGTCAGCAGTTAAAATTTAACTTGCATTAAAGGGACAATATTATGTGTTTCTCAGGAATATATTTAAATACTATACCATAATAAAGTATCTATGTCACCT